TAAATTGAAATGGCACAGATTTCCCTCCGTGTTATGATTAGTCAAACATTAGTGATTAGTCAAACATGAACATGTGCCCCTAAGAGATATCCTGCCCAAAACATTGCTGCGAAAAGATTCCAAGAGGTCATCTAAAAAGTGAAAGTCCTCCATTAATCTGTTCTCATAATGCTCCTAATCTTAAAAACTTCAAAGCAACTTCAGCAATTCTTTATCTCAGATTGTGATGTTACATCAAATATAAAGGTTTAAATGACTGTTTTACTTGGTCTGAATCTGTTTAGATAATGTTTACAAATGAAACTTTAAAAAACAGAACTTTGGAGACTCATTCAGGAAACATTTTTAATCCACAAAGTTAGTCAGAAGACCCCTTTGAAGCTCTGTCTATCCTTTGTGTATTTGTTAACATGTGGATTGAAATGACTGACACGCCACTGCATATATCATCTAACCTATAAGAATTTTATTGCACGTAGCTTAGATAACAGAAAGGAAGAAGAGAGAAACGAAAGTATGCAGTTAAGAGCTAGAAATGGGAGAGGGTGACCACACCTACCAATGGTCCAGAGACTTTTTGCAGAAGTATGCGGGCATATTGGGAAGAAATAAAGCTGTTTAATCTAATAAACATGATGAGGTCATCGCTGAACTCAAATCGAAATTCTAGAAAAAATGTAAGTTTAATGCCACATATCTAGAGAGAAAAAGGAATGAGCAAGTTAAAACTCAAGTCGCAAACACAAGCATAACCTTTTTACAATTTCAAATTGCGGAAGAGTAAAAGTAAAATTCAAACACATAAACCTTAATCTGACATGGGATACAAATTGACAAAAGGTTGTTTGTATCGTGTTAAATTGAGGTAGTTTAGAACACCAAGTGATTTAAAAAAGAGTATTAATTTGGCCTCAGTTTTCTATTATAAAACAGCTGGAAACTTCCCATTAATGTTGAAAAAACTAGCCAGCGTATTCAGATGAGGATGTTTCATCTGTTTTCTCCTCGCATTAAACTCAGCAAGCATTGTCTCACATGAATTTGTATAAAAATATCCATCATGCAAATAAATCTGGCCCACTGTGTTAAATGCATCTACATTGATCAGAGAAACTTAGAGCACTGATCAGAGCAGGAGGTTCATGAGAAGCTCAAACACTTTTGAATGGTGTCCTCTTCTTCCTCTTAACCGAGACACCGACAAAATAAGACTCATGGCTGCCGCTTATTCCAGTCAGTGAATCCAAGGAAAATTTAGAGCTTGGATAGTGCTGTTATTAACCTAAGCCACCAATCTGTAAAGGCTCGCTTAACAGCTGATTATCAGCCAAATTGAAACACATTTTACGTTCATATCTTAAAGTGACATCTGTCATTCAGATATGCGGCATATTGAAATTGAGTAATCAGACCTGGAGAGATTTCTGGAGAAAAATGTTACTGGAAAAAGAAAACAGTCGAAAAACAGGGGGTCATTCAAACATGACCCTGTCCAGTTAGCTTTAACTGAATTAAGATGTACACACAGGACGTAGTTAAGGTTCATGGTGAGGAGCGGGGAGACGTTAGATTGAGGGAAGATCAATGGGGTTAGGGTTAGAGGGAGGATCAGAGTGAAGTTTGGGTGAAAGTGGAGCGATGTTAAGGTTAGGAGAGATGGTTTGGAGGGGTAGGATTAGAGGGAGGATTGAGGTCAGGTCAGAATGTGTGAGCGGTGAGGGGGGTAGAGAGAGAGGGAAAAGGGCAGGAGGGAGAGCAGGAAGAGGAGAATAAAAGAAGACTGTGCGTGTGTGTGTGTGTGTGTGTGTGTGTGTGTTACTGGTCCATGGCTGGAGCTCACATCTCCGGCTTGTACGGAGAGTGGGTCAGCCAGGCCATCACCATCTCTGACAGGGCATCAAAGGCAGACGGCGACACACCGGGAGGCTCGGGCCGGGCCGGGGGAGAGTTCTGCTCCGGCCCCGGGGGGGCGCCGCCGGGCCGGACCTATGAGACCACAGGGACAGACCTTTCAGAACGTGTCGGCCCGGTTGTCTCCATGGGGGTATCGCTGGTCTCGGCGCTCCGGGAGGGCCGCTGGTGGACCGGGTCTGGGGTCCTCTCTGCCTTCTTCACACCTTTGAGCTTCTGTGCAGTTGCCGTACAAAATTAGAAATATATCCTGTCTGTCATTACTACCAGTGTCCTGGCGGCCTTCAGTTTTTGCTGCCTGTTTGTGTGTGTCTCTTTCTTGTGTCTGCTTGCAGGTGCTTCTACAGGTTCTCCCCCCGGGTTTGTCTGCAGTATTATTTTGCTGTTAGTGTTTGTTAGTTTGTGTGTGTCTCCCCGTAGTGTTTGTTTGCAGGTTCTCCCTCGAGTTTGCCCACGGTGACTACTGGACATCTTTCTACAGATACAACAGCTGGATGGATTCTTTTGTTGTCTCTCTTTCCTTTTTTTTTATCTCCTCTCTTCCTGTTTTAGGAATCTCTTTCTTTTTTCCCCCTTTCCTGTCCCCCGGTCATGTTTGGCATTAGCCATGTGTAACAAAAATAAATATATATATATATAAAAATAAAATAAAAAGGCTAAATATCACCACCGATGTAGCAGTGTGGGACACTCACCTCCACCAGGCTGGGCTGAGGGGCAGAGGTGGAGGGCTCGGGGACCGCAGCGTTCCGGAGAATTCTCCTCTCTGGAGGCTCCTCAGGAGCTCTGGAGCTGCTCTCCTCCTCCCTCCTTCTCTGCATGACAGATGACCACCGGCAATAATCCATCAATCAATCAATCAATGTTTATTTATATAGCACTTTACAACAACCGGAGCTGACCCAAAGTGCTTTACAGTAATAAAAACAGATCAAACTATCGAAATATACAAAGACAAACACATTGGTGACAGAACCCCGTATACAGAGATTTTACGTGCAAAAAAGCCATTCTGAACAAATACGTTTTAAGTTGAGCTTTGAACAGTGGCAGGTCAGTAAATGAACGTAACTCAGTGGGCAGAGAGTTCCACAGTTTAGGGTCCCGCCACTGCAAAAGAGCGGTCAGCCCACTGCTTGCACCTGGACCATGGGACCTCAAGCAGATTTGTTGATCAGGAGACCAAAGTGATCTGCCGGGCTGGTGAAACCTCAGAATTTGATTTATATACAAAGTAATTGTTGAATAAGTAACGGATCTGCTTCAGCTGGCTGGATTTGAGTCCTTTCAGACTGTGTTTCCATGTTCATTTTCAGTCAGAATTATTGTTTGACTTCTCACAGGAAGTAGTGATCCCGGCAGTTAATTTGATACACAGAATTTGAATGAAAGGTTTGAATGAATGGATAAAGTATCAACTTCCTTCCAGGTTATATGAAGACAACTTCACTAGTCATGGTGACAGAAAAAGTCCCATATTTTACCTTTGTGTAGCTCATGCGGGGCACTCTCCTCCAGTACACGTGGTCTTGGAGGTGAAAGGGCACGTCACACATCTGTTAGAATTGACACAAACCTCAAGATGAGACCAATTTATTCAGCATCAATGCTGTTTATTCAACCCTCGATTAAGCGGTTCAACTGTTTGTTTGTGTGAATCGTTGTTTTCCTTTACACAACAAAAAAACAGTGTATTCAATTGAAATTAGATTTGGATTTTGTACAGCTTGCCAGTCACACAAACACTGAAGTGAACATTCTCTGCTTTTCAAATTGAATGTAAACATTAAAAAAGACCAATGGAATTCTATTACATTCAGAGGAGGAACTCAGCCCATGTTTCAAATTTAACATGTTTAAATATGCTTATATCCATACAGGTAAAGGACTGACAATTGCCCAGGCTTTAATTATTACATAAACGTATTGATACGATAAATGCCATAATCTTTTAAATGTAGGAACTTTAAACAGAGTATTTCAAAAGTCCACCAAATGATATAATGCAATTTGACCTGGTAATTGGCTGAGGAGCCAATTTTCTGGAGCACATCTGGAAAGAAAATTTTAAACCAAAAAAGAGACTGATATACCTCTTCTAAAACTTTGCCAGAAACATATTAAAACAAATTTTTCAAACAAAACTGTTAGTTTAGCTCAGGCCAGTTTGTTAGAAGACTATGCATAATCTTTGATAACATGCTCTAAAAAATTATTGAAGAAATTAGACTTATTTTATCATACGTTTCCAGTGAAGAACGACTTCAAATGTCTTGAGGGTTGTTGGTTCCTGTTTGGTTGGTAACTTGATAAGTTTCTTCCAGAAATCGTGAGAGATGTGTCTCTTCCAAAATCTCAGGATGAAAAGGGAATTCTGAAAGGACGTAATCACATAAAAACAGCAGGGTTTCTATAGAAACCAGTGTTATATATCAACAATGCATATCAACTCAGCTTATTCTCGTTGACAGTATTCGTTTTTTTTCAAAAATCAGTACCATGTTTGATTCTAGATTTTTCAAAGCACGTTATTTTTTATGTCAGTGGTGGAATGTGCAATTTCTCTTTCTAGTTACTTTCCAATTCATTTCATTGTGGTATTCAATGCTGACTAAAAGTTTATGTGGTTTAAACCACATGTCAAAGCCCTCGATAGCTGTGATAGTTTAACAGTTTTGTTTTGTTTTTTAATCTGTTTAGTGAAATGTGTCCTGCAAAAAAAAAAAAGTATATCCCTTCAACCTCTCCTAATGCCATGAATATGAAGTGTTGCTTCTCTTGCACAACTGTTGAGAAGAGAAAGTGACTTTGTGTGTTTTCCAACCCTCAAGGCACACTGCCCTGCATCTCTCCAAGGTTTTCCCTTGGATGGGTCTTCATCAGCCTTCTGTTGAGAAGGCTGAAAGCTCTGAAGCTTAAGATGTCCCATTTATTTAAATCAGGCGTGCCATGAGGACCAGGGTTGGGAAACAAACAGACTTAAGTGATGTTTGTCCGTCCGAACAGAGAAAATCAGATGGGTGTAATGAGCCCAACACGCCGCCAGGTGGCGATAGCAACTGTAGAGGCCGGCGGAAGCTACTGAAAACCCCCAGCTCTTTGGTATTGAGTTTGTTGACAGTCCAAGCCTGGCAACGTTGGTTGCCAATATGAAGGTGTTTAACAAGCCTGGCGTGGATCTGAGTAACGGGTTGGAGGACGTTCCTGTGTTGTGTGAGGACCCAACATTTCCTTCTTTCCAGGTGACTAGAATGCGACCCGTTTCTGTTAGAGAACATGTGTTGTATGCTAACTACTTTCAGTCTGCAACCGAACAGGTGCTCCGAGTCCTTAGGTCGGAGTCGTCTTTTGAATTCTCGTTTTTGTTTTTTTTACCTGTGTATTTCTTTTTTCGTGGGTGGACGACCGCGCATTGTAGTCCGGGTCAGTTCTTAGGTACTTTAGTCTTTCTGAAAGACACAAACACTGTGCCTTAACGTTCATGTGGACATTCGTAATCATATTGTCAGACACTGTGTGTAACTTTTAAAGTTCAATTAAAAAAAATAAAACCCCAAAATCTTCCCATTTTGCCAGGACCTCATGTTGCGACGAGTCAGGAATAACTTTAATGGGTTTGTGGCTTAGCCAACAGTTTATAGAGACTTCAACTCTGTCAAATGAAATACCGTACTTTACCACTAGGTGGCAGCAAATCATCCCAAAACACACCTCAGCCTGCAGTGCAGGGAGCCAACAACACTACCCCGATGGTTTGACCTACTTTATACCCCTTTTCTCACGACTTCCTTTGCTCTTGAATCATGCAGGGATATTTGATATAGAACATATCCCATTCTGGCTAAACTTTGTCTGTTTACATTCCATTGTTGTGCACTTGTGTAATGGATAAGGCAGATGAAAGTGTAGCAGGTGCAGAACATTTGGAAATGCGATTACACAAGTAGACAAATATATTTTATTGTCATGGGGAGTTTTTTTTTTAAAAAAGCCCTAAAATCTTCCAAACTGGAAGCTTGAAGCAGTATTTGAAAAAACGACGAATATAAATAGATAAAAACTTTGATGTCAGCCACGCATTCCAAAAACAGTTGTGGTAGAGGTTTGTTTACAATTGGATTATCAGCCTTCTTTTTCATTACACTTTGGATCATGTAGTAGCTAAGAATGTAACCGAGTAATCACAGGACTGCACAGTATTATTTTTATATAATACATATATCTATCGATCTATCTATCGATCTATCAGTTTCACAGAGGAAAATGTCTCCATTCTGGCCGTATACATGATATCAGCTGCTCTACAGTCCTCAGCTGTTGCTGTCTGACACTTCTGCTTGATGTATTTCTTTTAAGAAATGGACCAGTGAAGCTAAGACAGTGAAATCGTCTGACAACAGAGCCCTCTGTCCATCTGAGATGAGCTTTAGACCCGCGTAGCTCAGAGGCTGGGCCAGGGTCAATTCTTTTATTGACTTTGTCAATGCTACGCTATTGTTGAGGGACTTCGATTTTGATAAATGCTCCGTCTTTTATCTAATCCTGACACCTGCAACTCATCCGTTGATAGCTGATTGTAGAATGTTCCAGAACACAATTACATGTTTGTTCTATAAACTGACGTAATGTTGCAGTTTTTCTAAAAATCATGAAAATCCTTTTGTTGTGTTTGTCGGCTAAAGTTTACATAGTCTTGTATTGTCATTTGGACAAGGTCTAAAGCATCTTGAGGAAGAAATTTCTCCCTTTTTTTTGTTTTTCCGGTCGTTTCTCAGTACTGCCCGGACAACGTTCAGGGGCCAGGATGCGACGTGGACCCCAGTGAGGTCTCCCTCCCGGGGTGCTCCTGCCTGTCCCGGCCCTGCCGCCCGGACGCTTGCCCCTGCCTGCAGGCGTCCGGCGGGGCCTACGACGGCTCGGGCACGCTGCTGCTGCTCCTCTTGGGCGGGGCCGACTCCGGCTACAGCCCGCCGGTTTTCGAGTGCAACGCCCTCTGCGCCTGCGGCGACGCCTGCTCCAACAGGGTGGTGCAGCGGGGGCTGCGGCTCCGGCTGGAGGTCCTCCGCACGCCGGACAGGGGCTGGGGGGTCCGGACCCTGGAGCCCGTCCGGCGGGGGGCGTTCGTGTGCGAGTACGCGGGCGAGGTGATCGGCCCGGACGAGGCCCGGCGCCGACAGCGGGCCCAGAGAGCCCAGGACAGCAATTACATCATCGCCGTGCGGGAGCACGCCGGCGCGGGCCCCGTGGCCGAGACGTTCGTGGACCCGGCCCGGGCGGGAAACGTGGGCCGCTTTCTCAACCACTCGTGCCGGCCCAACCTGGTCATGGTGCCGGTGCGCGTGCACTCCGTCACGCCCAGGCTGGCGCTGTTCGCCGAGCGGGACGTGGACACCGGCGAGGAGCTGACGTTCGACTACTCGGGAGCACACGGTAACCGGGGACCCGCCCAGCCGCCCAACACGCAGAACACAAACTCCCCCCAGAGGAAAGCCTGCCACTGCGGCGCCGACACCTGCACCCGATTCCTACCTCTGGATCTGTCTATCCTAGGCTGACTTTTTCGAGATAAGCTTCTAGATTTGGTTAAGCGCCTTCTGCTTGCAAATTTTCACCTCTCCCAGATCTCTCTTTTGATAGCCATGAGTCTATTTTCACTGAGGCTTTGGGTCAACTCAGCCGCTCATTAAGACCAGGCCACGCTCAACACACTGTACGAACACAATCAGCCGGATGAGTCACAACCGCATTCATCCATTTCCTGCGTTGTCCCCGTGATCTTCCCCTGACTCCCCCTCGGTGTGAAAAGATGCGATGAAAACACAAATAGGAGGTTTTATTTATCTCAGCGTGCACGCTGGTGACATTCCTGTCTGTTTATCTGTATTCATCCATTCAGTTTTTCTTGTCTCATCTATTGCAAGCGCAGAAGTCCAGTTTTTGTCACCACACCTGAATGCGCCACGGTGATAAATGGGGTTTCTTTCAGCAGCACAGCACAAGAGAACATACGTGTCCCTGATCAGAAAGAAGAACTCACATATTTAGTAGTAACTATATGCTTCCACCATAATAACATGTATTTGTTGTTGTCACGTGATAAGCGCCTTTCTTGTAGATATTCTCAGCTTGTCATGGTGCTCTCACCTCAAGAGAGGTGCAGTCCAATTAAAATAGGCCGCGGGGCATAGTTTTTATAGAAAGCCACTGTATTCCCCTGTCAGAGGAGGAGCGAAGGTGGCCCACTTTAGCGTGACCATTCTGAAATCAGGCCTCTCTCTATTCAACCTGCCCCATTTCCAGTCTAGACCCGCTTTCTTCTTATTAATATCCACATCTGGGTTAATTAGGATGGAGACCCATGTTTCATCCAGAAATGAGACCAGTGCTGCAGCCACACCGGAGCAGAGAAGGACTCAGTGGTGGAGGGGACGGGAACCTTCTGCTGATCGGAGACCGCTGTCAAGCCGATTGGTCTTTGTGTCAGTCAGCGGAGAGGAGTCTGTCGAATCGGCCCCCATCCTGTCCCCTGGAAGCTTTACCTGAGGTTTCTTTTTGTCCACAAAGGGGTTTTTCTCTGCACTCGGTCTGACGCACATTCAGAAATTGAATATTAAACTTAAAGGGACGGACGGTTTTCAAGGCCTAAATGAGAAGATGAATATCTGTTCATGTGTTCTCTGAATTACACTAAGCCCACTAATAAAATCAGGAATACTTTGAATTCATGTGTAGAAAATGTAGTTGGATGAAGGTGACCTTTATAGAAAAGTTGTATGGAGATGATTGAGAATATATTTATATATATATGGTGTTGTTATTTTCCCAGCACATTTCGCTGTCCTCAGCCTTTTTGGACAGTTGTGCCTTGTGAAAAATTTGATTCAACAGTGCAGATTTATCATGACTCATGTCATTTTTGAGTCAGATGTCCCTGGAATCCCCATGGCAACCGGCCCTGTGTACGGCGGGTGATTTACTCAGCACACAGCGCTGGTTTCTTCGGAAGTGCGCGAAGACTGATCTCAGATCCTGGCTGGTGAAGAGCAGCGCTGCCAACGGACGGCTTCGCTCCGGCGTTGTCACCTAGCAACCAGCAGTTAATCACATGAGGTGAACTTCCCACCAAAATCCACACTCACCCCCCCTAACCAAAACACACACACACGCAAGACACGGATAACAAAACAAACCAAGGATGCACCGCAGCTCATTGAGCCCGATCTTTGATTTTAAGACTGGAAAACATCTTCATTGTCACATGAGCTGTGTTATGTGTTTTTAGGGGGGCGGGGTTTACTTTGCAAGGTAGCTTAAGTCAAAGTGTTGTAATGTGATGTTTTCATTTCAAGTTACTAAAGTAATCCCCCCTTGCTTCTTGTCCTCAAGATGTCTGTAGAAATTGAATTCACCGAAAGTTTTAAAAAATCCTTAAAAGAAACAAATTAATGAATGAGTTTACTGTGTGAGGAAGCCATAAATTCCGCATGTCTCTACACAAACACATGGATGGATTTTACAGTTATAACTGTATTTGAAATTAATACATTTTACACAAATACTGAGCTTTGTTTTTCCTTTTTTGATGATTGCAAGAAACTGAAATGTTAAGGAATATTAAAATTTCACAAAAATCCATCTGCAATGAAGGATTTTTAAATTTTTTATTGAAACTGCTGTCATGAAAATGCAATAATGTTCATTCACTGACCGAGGTCCAGCTGAAAACCCCCCCTCCTGTTTTCCTCTCCTATGCACTTTAACCTGACCTTGTTGGGAAACGGCATTGTTCAAGTTAAGATCGTTCAAAGAAAGGTGTAAAGAAAAAGGCAGCTGCGCTGAATCTGGTCACACTTAAAGTGAGCTGTGATGTGAGCCAGCGTCAGTCGGTCGGCAGTGGTTTTAAAACACTCTCCAAAAACCTAATTGGGCACTTTGTGGTCTTTTTGTGTTGTTTCAGTGATTTTCTTTTTTCTCCCTGACCTTAATTTTTGCCTCAACTCGACAACAAACTGAGTTGCCAGTCTTCCTTTATGATAAGTGGACCTTTTTTTGAAGAAAATAAATTAAACACAGACAACTTTAAGGGTTTTCATCCTATTAAGACTCACTTCTGACATGCAATTAAATATATGAAATGTTGATTATCGGGCTTGGTCGTTCAAAAGGAGGATAGAGGTATTCATAAAAGTGAAAACTGCCTCAGGTCGCTGACATTAGCCGCTCACACCTGGCCTCCTTTTACCGAAATTCCTCCCAGACTCCAGTTAGAATGATTTTGCTTTTATGCCCTCCCTTAAAAGTATTCCCAAGTGTGTGCTTATCGACATATTAAAGGAAGGGCGGAAGCACCTGTCTTCAGCATTTCAAGAATCTAAGCAGAGGTAATACAGAGGTAAACTGAATAGCTATATCAGAAAACCAATAGAAATAAAGGAAGCAACACCAAGCAGCATCTGTTCGAATATTGCAGACATTTGCTTCCATTTTCTTGTCATTTTTATTTGTTTATCAGGCAACGATAAGCTGCCCCTTGATTAGGTCCGGTACGCATCCCCCCGACATAAAAGAGCGAGACTATTACGGGGAGACTGACCAGCAGAGAAATTACAAGTGGCAGCCCATTTGTTCAGAACTGGAGCACCTCTCTTATGAGGGAGCAGATGTCTTCTCCTGAAATCCTGCTGCCAAATCGAGAGAGGGGAGGGGAAACATGACAGCTACGATGGGGGGGCCTCAGCTGGCAAAAGCATTTCAGACTCATTTTTTAAAAAACATTTCCCCCAGTTCTGTTGTAATATTGGCAGGTTCCCCGTTCTAGGCCTTCAGGCCCGATCGGTGGTGAATGAAATTTGTGAAAGCGAGTGGAAATCCTGCGACATCCAGTATTCAGAAGCAATTAACCTCATGAAGGAAATGTGCCTAAATAGTCATGATTATTTAAAATCAGATATAACCTTTTAAAGGAAACGGTTCAGGACATTTTGTCCACTAACAAAACAGCGTTCGATGGCCCACCATCAAAGTAGAGCCTCTCCAAGCAAGTGGAGCCCATATTTGACTGTGACTCACTCGGCGGGCTGGATTTGACATTTTGTTTTTTCGGTCTGATGTAACGGTGGGGTGAAAGATGCGGCTTGCAGTTTCACTTCGGCAGAAACGCGTCGGGCCCCTCCCAGCACAGATGTGGGGTTAAATTTGGCCCCCGGGGACACCTGTGCGACACCAGGCAGGAAGTTCTAGAGGGGCGAGACGCGCCTGCACATGTGATCGTGTGCGTTACAGAGCTTTAAAGTCACATCTTTTTCTTTTACCTCTGCCTTCTGATGGCTGCTGAGCAGAACCTATACAGAACTGTCTCAGAAAATTTGAATATTGCGATAAAGTTCTTTATTTTCTGTAATGCAATTAAAAAACATGAAATGTCATAAATTCTGGATTCATTACAAATCAACTGAAATATCGCAAGCCTTTTATTGTTTTGATATCGCTGATTATGGCGTACAGCTGAAGAAACCCAAATATCCTATCTCAAAATATTAGAACATCGGATTTTTGAGTTTTCTTCAGCTGCACGCCATAATCAGCTATATTAAAACAGTAAAAGGCTTGCGATTTTTCAGTTGATTTGTAATGAATCCAGAATGTATGACATTTCATGATTTATAATTGCATTACAGAAAATAAAGAACTTTATCACAATATCCTAATTTTCTGAGACAGTCCTGTAGTCCTTTCTTAAAAGACCTGAACAGCGGAATTGAATAGAGATCTGATGTTTTCCTTTGGCTGACTTAGTGGGCTGTCATCCGTGGCAGAAAAAGGGTAAACTGAATGAAGTAACTATGTACTTCTCCAGTGAAAGTGAGTCGTTCCACCCCTCTTATCCTAATGGATTACTCAGCCTTAAAGCAGCTTACGGGACATGTTACAGAACAGGTGACTCGAGGCCGTTGCCTCCTTGGGATGTAGTTTCCCTTCACCAGCGTGAGCTCAAACAGGAAAGCATCCAAAGAGCAACAAACATGGCACCAAAATTCTGCCCTCACGCTCGGCAAATCAGACTGGGTGAATAATTTGTCCTGCTGATTATCCTGTAACCAAGGGGACGGGGGAGAACGGAACCTCTGCTCCGAAAGTTGCATCTTTCTGTCTGTGGAATTGCTTTTCATAAGGACGATTATATATCACATCTATCTGAATGAAATGCAAAAAAGATTTTTTTTAAAAAGGCCCAAACTTATTTTTCAAAGTTAAAAGACAAAACGGCCAGGCCTAATTAGAATATCTCTGCAGCTGGTCTAATCAGACTTTTCCACTGGGGATGCGTGGAGCCATTAAACCGGCATAATTGTCTTTTTATTTTTAGTGAAGTAGATCTCTGTGTCATGCCAGGGTGCCCCTGTTCACGGAGGCGAGGAGCTAGAGGGATCTCTGTTTTTTTTCGGGCTGGCCTCACGCAGGATGATCCTGCTGTTTGTTTTTCCAGTTTTGCTACCCGCTCAGCCATCAGCTGAAGCCAGCAGATGAAGAAGAGGAAGCCTCTTTGAACTTCTTACCCTCAAGCAGGGTTTCTGGGGAGGGGCTGGAGACAATATGACTTGTCTGTGGTTGTGTCTCATTGTGTACCTGTGTTTATGTGTCAGAGAGAGAGAGAAAGAGAGAGAGAGACCTTGGTTAATCAAGGTACCATGCAACGGTGAATTGTATTGTAGTCCCAGTTTGAAAATGGCTTTTGCTGATTTTGTTTGGACGTCGGTGCCCCCTTAGATCAGTTTTAGTCCAGTCTTTGATTTGAATATTCTCAGAAGAACAGAAGATGCTTTTTTCTTAAACCTCTGAGAATTGACCTATGGGTCATTCAAATCTAAAAAAAGGAACCAAACTCAACAACCAGTTTTGTGTCTAAACACAGAAGGCTTAGAAGGCAAAGAATGATTTAATGTTACCTATTGCAAAGATTTGTCCCCATTTTGTAGTTGCACGTGCAGACAATATCAAAGAAGGCACATTGTGACATTCTGAGAATATTTTTGCACCTAGATGGTCATTTCAAAAGGCCTGCTAAGGCAGTGCGCAGTGTGTGCTCACAAGATTTGAGGAAAATGGAGGACAACAGAAGAATTGACAGGTCAGAAATAAAAATGAATGCAGATTAATGCAGAGATGTTCAAAAAAGGAATAAGAAAAATCTCCCATCTGGTCTTTCACCTGATCCATCTTTTTTAAGCAGAGTGCGATCATCTTGAGAGGAAAACAGAGGGCAGATATACTCTAGAGAATAGCTTTGGGATGTCCTTCCAGCAGCCTTGCAAACTATTCCTGAAGACTAATTAAAGAAAGGACAAGATAGCTTGACCAAAAGGAATGAGACGGTCGTATAATAAAGGTGGTCATGCCAAAATCTTAACCTTAAAACCCATTTGAATTGTTTAAAGTGCTTTTTATGCTATATGTCTGTCTTAATCAATCACTTGCCTATTTGACATATCTAACCTGAAGATGTGGTCCCTTCATTCAACACGTAATCTGTATGGTGGTGCCCACCACTGGTAAATATGGTAAATGTAAAATCAGTCTGTTGTAGTTCTCCCAAATTATTGACAACTTTTGACAAAGTACCATTTCTATAGATACTATAATAACTGACTGGATTGCAATGCACAGAAGCAGAACTGGATTGTACGGAATTGTGAAGAATTAAGAAAGGTGACTTTTCAGTTGAGATGACTTATGTTGTGCTGATCTTGATTAAACCAAAAAAGTAGTCGCAAAGTTAAAAGAAGTTCATTCCGTATTCCTTATTTGGCTTTAAATTGCCTACAATCCATTATCTATGAGTCTTAATCCCTGCGGCGTTGTGTCTTGAGTGGTTTGCTGTCCCAGATCTACAGCAGCAGTCAGTCACAGCCCTCCGTGTCTCCTTTTAACAAGACCCCACTTGATCAGGACTAGGCAACTTGCCTTGTTATACAATTTCTGCCACATTCCATGGAAATGAGGGATTAGTTTTGCAGACCCGGCCCACGCGGAGGAAAATCCGTGCCTCAGACAAGACAAACTTTCAACCGCCGTGCCCACGTGGAGCTCCGGTCTAAAGCCTGGGTCTACACATGAGAATACTCCAGCTCACGCACAATGACGAATCTCACAATCCGAGCTCCTACACACACACGCGGGCCCGCTGCGTTCTGGCTTCCCACTGTTTCTGGAGAACTCTGTGCTTGCAGATGTTGCACTCTGGAGCGGCGTTTCTGCGTCGCACTGCGCCGCCTCCCACCAGGCCCCTGCTCCCGCCCATGACCCCTCACAGAACACCAGAAATCAATCTGTCTTCACGCCTATCCCGTCTTTATCCAAAGCAACGGCTCCGCTGTGCTCGTGCCTCATATGGGGAAACAGCAGCATGTTCCACTTCATGTCAGTGCAGGGCAATGGGATAAAACACGGGTCGAAAAGGCTGAGAGCAAAGGCTACACTTTGCTAACCATTCCTAACATACTTCTATTTTTTTGTGTTGTTGCAATTCTTAATAATAGCAGCAATCTTATATTTATAATCCTTTTTTTTCTGTCTGGAAGTCTGTGGTCTGTACACTGTATCCATGACAACTGAGCACTCGGGTGATTTGTATTCAACTTGATTTTATGTCAGAGCCTGAAAAAGCAGGTTAGCCTTGTGGTATCATGAGTCACGCGTCAGATTGATGTGCCACAGGTGACAAAACACCCATCTTTAATCTTCTTTACATACTGTGGTTGTTAGATTTATTATATGACCTGTTAAATTCTGGTAATTGAATGACTGCATAGCCTGTGTAAAGGAAAAGAGCCTGTGACATCACAGGCATGCTTTGTGTACCCTGTATTTTATGTTAGCTCCAGGAGAGTGGAGTGTTAGAATGTGAATCACAGAGCTGAATATCTTTCGTGCTTTTTTTTTGGCCTTGAAGTACCCTGCATCACGGCAAAATGCAGTCATTTACATCTCAAAGACCACATTGTGCAAAGCGAAAAGCAGACGCGGAATGCAGAAGCAGAGACAAAGTGCTTTGTTTTTATTTTATGGTAATATCCTCTTGTCTTTCACCACTCTTGCTTTCGCTCGACATCACGCAGCCAGAAACCTCATTAAGAGATAATCAGTGGGTTTGCTTAATGCCACTAGGCCTATCTTATGGATGAAAGTGCTCTTTTGCTCCCCGTGCGTCGCATTTTCTCTCATTCATCTGCAATTATGGATCATTATGAGTAATCAACACTTCACACATTACATTTCGTGTCTTAGAATACTAATGAATGTCTCAACTGCAGTAAGTAACTTTATTTTCCAATAACTAAACACAATCTTGTAGGGGTACAGCCTGCAAGGATCAACTGAAAATAAACCAAAACGCCATTCACGGTGAGTTTTTCATTAATCTTTTACTTTAAAAGAAAGAAAAATGTTAGAATACCTTAAGGCCCACCAGTATGTGACACAGAGGAAGTGTGCACTGACAAAGATTTGAGATGTATTTCGAACCCTGGCAGGAATCTGACTGCCAGTGGTCAAATCAGTGTTTCTGACAGGACACCGCTCTCACCACCGATGCCTTTTTCTCGTGTGCTTTCACACCTTGACGTGCACAGCATGAGCCTCCTCTTTTAAAGGAGGAACGCATGCTTCTGTTTCTGGCATTACATTCATAAAACAATGTCCACACACATCCATTGAGGTGATCGATGATGAGACATGGAAACCCTGAGCTTGATTTTATGGAGCTAAGAATTTTTGCTCAGATTAAATAAAAAATATTCATGGTTTCCGACCACAAGTGGTGATGACTGGTGAATGAACCAAGCTGATGAAAAATCACTTTATCAGTACAATTTCTAATACATATGCAAATACTCTCTCATCTGCTTGGCAACTTTTTTAATTGTTCCTTTTAGAATGGAAGTAACTATTGTAATATAATAAGGTCACCCGCTTTTGCTGGAAGGATAAAGAGAAAAAAAAATCCCCACAGGAGATGATGGTGATATGTCAAGAACTACATTACCCAGAGAGCTCTGCGTCTGTATAAATAGTAACGAAATGGGCGTTCCCGCGGTGACATGTGGAGGAGGTAAGAAGAGGATTGTTGCCGAGGACACATTCAGCTGTGAGAGATAACACCGCTCATGCTCCTCTTACCTGGAGTTTCATTGCCATGGACTTAACCGAGGATAGCGCTGTGGAAATTATCCCGTGCTGACCCACTTCTTCCTCCGTTCCTGTCTCTCGCTGATTTTTTTTTTCTTTTTTTTTTTTGTGGACGCCTTCCCTGATATCTGTCAGGTAATTGCCAGTTGTTTCCCTAGCTAGCGCATTATTTAAAAAAAATAAAATAAAAAAATTTACTTGTTCGCTGAGACACGAGCATCCTTGTTAAGGAAGTGGCCCACGCGCTCATTTGCTTCTGTTGTTTGCTGCAGCTCGCGCTGAGAAAAAAAAAAAACGAATAAAAACAAGGCCACTTGACAGTTAATCTTGCATGTGGTTCTCTTTTGCGTTTGTGTGTACGTTTAGCAACTGTGGCGACAGCTCGAAGGGGCTGGAGGAGCTTAATATGTCAGTTACACCACATGTTTTGGCCTTTTTTTTCCGAGCCGGAGCTCAAAGTTCAGGTTGGTGGTCAGTGCGGTCGTGATGTCACACATAGTGTGTGCAGTCTTGTTGGATGCAGTTGGTGTAAGTTGTCTATGTCGTTGTGAACTAGTGAGAAAATGGAGTTTCAGTGCTTTTTATTGACAAAAAAAGCCCTATCTGAAACAAACAAACAAACAAACAAAGACAGACCATATAAACCCATTGAACCTCTCTAGAACAAGTGTTGGATTCTTTGCACAAACTGTTGACCCACATTTTATATGTATTGGTTTCCTGGAGTTACCAGCATCGTCCAAAATTGTTTTGTCCTCCTCTTGTGGTTTTATTGTTCGGTTTCTGATGATTTTCAGGTATTTTACGCACCTAGGTTGATGCATTCCGATTCATTAGCCCCCCTTCTGTGCTAAATTTGAAGTAAAATGGAGCATGACAGAGGCAATAGATGCTTTAGTAAAAGAGTGATTGGTCCTCCATGCTAGTTAATGTCAAGTATATCAATGATGATGTTTGATGAGGGATAAACAACTACGGGGTCTGTACCCAACTGAATGCCAACAAGAAGACCTCACTTGTGTAAATGTATTGTAGTCTGCTATTTACTGTCTCTTTATCCAATTTTCTGTCAGTTACATCTTCACAAGGATCACTCCTTTACATTGGAAACTTGTCATTTGACCGCTATCTGCTTTATTCTATAAAAACTCTGAATGGCTGTCATCGTTTTAAAATGTGTGTTTGTTTTTTATCAGGTGCAGACAAACCTGAGAAATCATGTCGGACAAAATGTCAAGTTTCCTCCATATAGGGGACATCTGCTCCCTGTATGCCGAGGGCACCACCAGTGGATTTATCAGCACTTTGGGGTAAGTTGGCTGTTTAAAAAAAAGAAAAGAAAAAAAGACAGTTTATTTGTTTATTATTTGGAAGGTTTTTTGCATCAACTAACTGCCTCTCATATTGGAGAATTGGACATTGGAGAATGTTGGATGAGAGCAAAATCCACCCCTGTAATTTGATGATTTAATTAGATGGTTATGAAGAAGTTTTAGTAACAAAGCTAGGATTAATGTAAATGTTGAAACTCTCCATTGAGACACAAACTCGTACCTCATTGTATTTCAGTCATTTCACTGGAAAGATAAGTCGTTTGCACAGTTCGAGAACTTTTTCAACTTTTCTCTGGTAAATTTTTGTTTTTTAAAAAAAAAGAAAGAACAAAAACAAGGACAAGTGAAGAAAATGGGATTAGGATAAAACACTCCGGGCCCTTTTAAGTTTTGAATCCAAGGACAAAAACAGAAAAGATGCACCTCTGGCGGTTATGGCGGCCTTATCTGTGGGACAGATCTTGGTCAGATGTCTAGTTTTTTTTCAAATCAGATGTTTGTCTTATCGGTGAATAGACGGCAGCATTCCAAGCCTCTCTCTTGATAAGGGTGTCTGTATTTGGGGAAATTCTGGCAGCTTTCCCTCTCTGCCCTTTTTGTCTGCCTTGATTTATTTTCTGCCGTCTGGTTACATATGCAGGGCGCAATTTGTTTAAGTAGTTGACATCTCCCCTCCTCTCTAATTGTATGTAGCTGTTTGAAAGCACGTCTCATCCTGGGAGAAGGGAACAGATCTGGACATGTAATTGACAGTCGCAGACGTAGCGGAGAGGCTAAAAGTGGAGCGGAGGGTGATCACGGATGTGAGGGTCCACGTCACGCGTATCTGACGTGTCTGGCTGTGTACTCTGGATTGCTTTCCATATTTTTTTTTTTTTTTTTGCCCCACAGAGATGATTTATTATTTCTCTTTCATGGTGAAAATGACCTCAGCGTCCATAGATTGTCTTTCCCTTTTGTTAAGTGCTTCAATTTTAATTTTCCTCCTCCTTGCTGCGTCATCGTTCTACGTGGTGCGTGCCAGCAGCAAAGACCCCCCCACCCCCCCAAAAAAAAACCTTGCCATGCTTTGACAGTTTTGTGTTTTGCGTCACCAACCATAGCAACAAAAGTGTGCATAGCTTAGTAGCTTTGAGGAACTGCCACCATGACAGTGCTCTTTTTTTAAATATAAATTTTTGTAAATCCATTTTCCCCATCCTGTGTTCTTATGCTGAATAATCCCCCCTCCCCCTTTTCCCTTTCCCTTCCCCATCACCGACTACTGGTGTGTGTGTGTGTGTGTGTGTGCTCTCTGCTAAAGAGAGGAGCTTGAAGGACGTGCCTAAAAATAGCATCATCGTATCTCTGTGTGTGCTGTTTGCTGAATGTGACCCCCCCCCACCCCTGGAGAGAAAGAAGCATCCACCTGGAGCTCAGCTGGCACAGATAGAGAGAGGGGGGCTGGCAGCTCGATGTCACAGCAGAGCGTCTCATCTTGACCTTGTGTGTCGGCAGCTTTTAAACACGCCCGAAAAACCCGGCTCCTCTGGTGGCTATAAAAAGATGCAACCGATCGGAACCGCTCGAGCACAGGGGGGGCAAAATCTGTCGTCCGCCTCTTGAGATGGTGCATCCTGCAGAGGTGTTTCATTTTTGCTGAGCGAGTTGTTCCACAGCATCCCAAGAGGGCTCCCCCTAATTTTACCCAAAAGCCATCTGTAGACCACTGAAGTCCCACCTACAATATCCTCAAAGGAAGGGGGGGGGTCTAAAAAGCAGACATTTTTATCAATGAATCTAAATTTAGACTTGGCTGAAGGAGGCCTCAGGTTGTCTCAGGATTGTGATACAGGAAGTTTAGGGCAAATCCCACAAAAGACGGAGAAGTTGGCATCGAATGGGCTTTTTCAGGTCACATGACTCAGTCAAAAAAAAGTAAAATGGCTGTTTTTTTGTTGTTGTTTTTTTTTTTTCTCAAACCAAGCACGGTAACTTTGATGCAAACTATAAATCACAGGAAACGAATGAAAAGGAGCTCGAATTGTTTTCTTAATTTGCAGACTGTTTTCTCTAAGCTGTCAACCATCTGAAGAGTCACAACAGGCTCCATGTTGTCTTTATACTTAATGAAACAACACAAGGCTTTTTTCCCCTCTTTTTTTGTAGGTTTGGTTGTTAAACAGGCAATATGAGACAAGTGATGGGCATCCAGTTTTGGGCTTTTCTTTAGTACCTTCTCAGAATGCTCAGCTGGACTCCACTTTTTTTTTTCTGCATTCCTTTAGGCGTTGTTTACAATTTTAGCACCTTTGCCGAGTTTCCAAGCAGGCTGAGTTCAACTGATGGCTGACCGCTGGCTGCCGATTGGTCAGAAAGTCCCCTAACTGGCTGAGTCAATGTCGTAAAATCCATCGTTGTTATCGAATGCTTGTGAAGGAAATCGCGGGTCGCTCAGCCCGTCTTTCTGTTAGAATCTCATTATCGTCATGGTACACCGCCAAAGCCAAGCTAAGTCGTGGCGAGGCGAGCGGAGCCTATTGGGTAGTCATGGAAAACCCCCGTCGGTTTTTGGTCTGGAGGTGTTACAGATGTGTTGATCTGTTGTCTTATGTAAATTACAGGGATTCCCCTTGAATTCCTCAACACTGTAGGCCTATTGCATTTTAGTTCCTATTGCATTTTAGTTCCTTTTCTCTCGCTTTGAATTGAGATGCTAGCAAGAACAATGGCACTAAAAATAATTTATTCTGCCATTTTTGAAGTGTGGTGCATTGCTTTTGTTGTTGTGAATGTAAAGATTAGGGTTTGAGTTGACTTTACTCCTTTGTATTGCAGTGTGACAGGACTGTGCCAAAGCACAAGTCTAATAAAAGAAAATATCAGCTGCATCTAAAAAAGCTCAAGGCACACAGGCCTCCTTTCAATGAAAACAGCAGTGGTTCCCCATGTGGGCAGTAAGCGTGAGCTACCAGGTAAGACTCAGCACGATGATGTTCAGAGGTCCCTATCTGATAGCCCCAACAATGAACAATCATCATTGGTAATGCTTAACCAATTAGGTGGACAGAACAATTATTTATACTTAGCCACTGAAGTTTCATGAGAAGTAAAAGGATCTCAAGACCAGGATGCTTATTCCTTCAGAAAATGGCAAGACCTGAATCTAGTTAGGCACATCTGAAGAGACTTAACCTGAAAATGGGCTTGTTTTGGTGGAGGATCATTTCCATGAGTGAAAGCCGCTAGGTCTGAACACAGCGTTTTTAGTAAATCAGCCACGCATATCAACAAGCCATTTAACCTTTATCAGTGATGGGTACCTGCGTGGAAATAAATTGGAGCAAAATGGGGGCACTCAAGTGCAGTTGTTTGAAATATAGAAAATGTCATCATTGTAACATTTTTGTATTTTTTATTCCTATTCATCCAGATAGGTTTGATACCTTTGCCCGTTGGGTTTGCGTTTGACTAGATTCTGTTTTGTTAGTTTTATTTCCTCAGTCTCGTTTATGAAGTGTGATAGTTCTTTATGTGTGTGTGTGTGTGTGTGTTATATATATATTATGCAAGCCTGTATCAAAGCGGCAGATGTTTGGAGCTTTAGCCATTCATGAGTGGGGGAAAAAATAGGACTCATGCAGTCTGAGTAGCTGAATTGTAAATGGGAGGGATCTTAATGGGTGAGCCTTGTTAAATAGTGATGCATTTATGTTTCTTATTAACTCTGACAGTGTGCTGGTGGATGGGTTGGCGTTTTAAACCCAGTCAGATTACACCTTCATGGCAAATGAACTTGCTTTAAATCTGCATGTCTAAAGCTGGTCTGGACATAGTCCAGTGGTTTGATCCATGCTTGTTTGGCCCTGCAACTTTTAAATGTCTTGTGTCCGAGCTAATGTCTTAGCTCTGTTGCTCTACTGTGAATATTATATATAGATGGATAAATACTTTATTAATCCTAAGGGAAATGAAAAGTATTCAGCACCTACATAGATGCACAAAAGCAGGTTTGTATGTGAACACAAACAAAACCTCTAGTAGCAACATTGAACCCAACGGTGTATCCATGTAATTGGTTTAAGATAAGGGAGTAATGATGATTTATAGCTTAAACAGGAAAAGACAACTGTTGTGATAGTATATGAAAGGTGTGTGGTGTGTAGAAAAAAAGAAAAGAAAGAAGGAACAATGTTTTAAATGAGCCTTCTGTCCGGAGGCCCTAAAATCAAAATATTGAGGAGTCACTTTACAGGTGACGTATCAGTTCAGTTAATGTTTTCCGGCTAAGTTCATCCTCTTAATTCCTAGTTCTGAGGGATCTCTAATATAAAGTATGATGTCAGTTTAGAAAATTCTGTCTCCATTAGAAAGAAAGTGGCCCACAAGGCAAGCTGCAATTCAGGATGGGGTTTATGTGTGGTTGACAAGGCTTCACTCTGCGGGCAAGCATTATTAGCTCTCAGCTGCACCACTCACCACTTTGATTTGATTGGATAATTGATTCTTAGCATAGGAGTTTTTTATTTTCTTATTCTATTTGGTTTTTTAAAGTTTCTTCTCTCATTTTGTTCTCAGGTTTTGCCCTGGGAAAGAAAAGCCATAATAAACTAAACTGTTTTTAGAAAAATTAAGGTTTCCGTTCACTAATAATCAATCTGTTAAAGAAACAAAGCATCTGAAAATCCTCTGAAACTCTTGGAGCAGCATTTTAAAAACAGGTTTTTCAATTAAACAGCTTTGCGTGATTGAAATGGGCAGAAAAACGGGTCATTTTAACCTCAAATATCGAGAGAATCACTTTTTCACTGTTGAAACCTTTTTTTGTTTTAGTAGCTTTGTTGACGTTTCAAAGTCTGTAAAGTTTGCCCTGTGCTGTGTGACTGTCTCATTCTTATGATGGCTCTGTCTGCAGACTTGTGGATGACCGCTGCGTGGTACAGCCAGATGCGGGCGACCTCAACAACCCACCCAAGAAATTCCGAGGTAAGGCCTCACACAAGTGACTCATTGAAGCCATTCAAATCCGCGCCGCTCTAGCCTCTTTTTGGCTTTTTATATTCAAGAATATTCTGCCAGACCATACAATTTTTATTTTTTTTATTTTTATTTTTTTTTCCACCTTCTTGCTGTTAGATCTTTACCTAAAAGCCACTTGGGAGGCTGCGCCCTTTCGGTAGATAAGCCCCTGTTTGTTTTAGAACAGAATTTCTTGGGATTGTTGAGCTTTCTGAAAAACTCCGTGGCTATTAGCTCTGTGCTCCATCTGCTGGTTCGGCTGTTTAACCAGTGCTCTCACACCCTCTTGGCGTACAAAAACGAGCTCCGTTGTGTCACAATCAGAAGATGCGAGGAGCCATTAAGGAAGCCTCCCTTTTGATGTATGAAATATTTGAATGACTGTGTGGTTCCATAATTTGGTTGGAAAGCTCTTGCTTTCAGATGCTTCTTCCTTGGAAGGGTTGTGATCCTATACGGGTTAGAGAAAGCTTCTTAATTAATTGGACGGATGTGGAGTGTATCCATTAGATTACACAAGCAACACTAAGAGATCCATTATTGGCCGCACAGGGCAAAATAGGACAATTAGCCTGCAAATGCAATGCTTTTCAGATGATTATGTTTACACAAGTTGCATACTGAATATCCAGTCAATCATATTCCCAAGAAATATGTAAGCGAACATAGTCTGATTAATAAATAAACGAATAAATACATGAATTGTATCCTTAACCATAAAAAAAGCAGTTGTACATATCTGCCTCTCGTGACATTCTCCCCCCATGTGTTTGTTACTCCCTCATCATATGACTAATGAGAATATAATGAGATGTGATATGAGAATATTCAGGTTATAAGAATTATTGAATTTCACTGAGAACTTGAACAGTTTTTATTCTGACGCAAACATCAGTCAAGTAGTGCAGCTGATACTCTATTTAAGGGCACGTTTTAATATGCAACCTCAATTCAGCAACAGAACACTCCCACGTGTTTTTGGCAGGTTTTTAAAGCGGGCATTACCAAATTATTCAGAGGTGATATTATACAATTACAAAATGAATAGAAATGGTAAAGGGCAAGCACAAGGCTAGAATATAAATGTAAGAAGAATAACACTTTACATTGACCTTTTTAATGGGTATTACACCCAGTTATGCCAAAGTGGCTTTATTTGATCTTTAAAGTCTTTTTTTTTTGTTCAATATCTTTTTTCTGTAAAGCAGTGTCACAGACAGCTCTGGCCACAGTTTCATAATGGGAAAATTTGGGCTTTTATTGTTTGTTTGAAAAACCCGATTCAGTCTGTGGGGGAAATTTGGGCCAGGTGTCGAGTCAACTTATGAACTCGCTTATGATGGAGTAAGTTGGTAGCAATAAATGTTGTTGTGGGCAAAGTAGTAGCCAATTTTTCTTTTCTTTACATTCTGGCAGGGCTTGGCAAATATTCGGACACAAACTAGAAGTGTCATTTATTCCAAAAAGTAATCCAGTCTCATCCATTTCTAGCTAACTAACTGGTGTCTAGAGGAGGTGTGTGTCGCAACATAGCTTTAAAACCGTGCGAACAACGAGGCAAATCAGAAATACTAAACATAGTTTAATTGGATTTATGCTCACCAGTACTCATTATTTAGGTTAAGATTGTCAGTTTGTTTAATACCTCCTCCTTTGAATGAGTTTGAATAATTTGAATGAGTCTTTATAAAAAGGGAATTTGTATCCCTTGCAGTATATGTTATAAATAAAGATCCACGCTTGGTGTATACACAGAATATATATTTGAATATAAATCGGCTGACAAACATTAAAGGAAAGTTCAAGCGTAACAGAAGTAGAAAAGAGCGAGCAGTTCAAAATTTCTCCTGACAACTCATCCGAGGTCCAAGCTTCTCCATTCGATCTGCCAGTGATGCTGAACCCTCCCATGAGAGGAAAAAGAGGAAGAATTTGGCCCACTTACACTTTTTTTTTTCCCACTCTGTTCCCACCATGTACCCAAGACGTCTCCTCTTACCTCATCTGTGTTTAGGATCTTATCACAATGTGTAACTCTGGCTTTGGAAAGCTCTCCAAACAGGTTAACAAAAATGCTCAGAAAACTCCATTAGGGTCTTAAAGGTCAAATTATTACAGTACTGTTTAACCAATTTAACCAGTATCATTACTGTCCCAGGTCTCTTTTTTTTGTTGTTATGTTTTGTTTTTTGCTCTGCTCAGACGTGTTGTGGTGTGCATTGCCCCACAGCAGGAACGTTCCGGTCTGAATCACAGTTGAGTCCTTTCTGTTTGCCCCCCCCCCCCGCTCCTCCACCCTCTCTTGGTACCTCAGATGTCTTTGCCTGTCCAAAAACATGCATGTCGATGTAAACTGAATCTAAATTGAAAGCTTTATTTTTTAAATGGATTGGTTCTGAGTGTCATTATTTGTCATAATTTGTTTGATAATTTATTCATGTACTTATAACGTAAGTCATTATGTGTTATATTCACTCAGTATTTTTCACTCGGGTTCCAGATCAATATTGATCATAAATGTCTTGCATGATCAACATGCTCGTCGTTAAGCCCTTACCTCATTACGTTATTACCGTGTTATTACAGTGTTATTACCATGTTATTACCACGTTATTACTACATTATTATCACATTATTACCGTGTTAATGTGCAGTCTGCTCTTTGGTACCAGGAAGAGTTCTGCAGATTCTGAGACATCAGTGTTTCGTGCTTTCCATGTTGAGGATGCTTAGAAGCACATTGACTTGTGGAACTAAGCATTTCTGATAATATTCAAAGGTGTGTTTTATCACCACACACTGCAGTAACGGGCCGGACGGACTGATGTACAGGCTGCTGGCTTCAGGCTATATCAACCTTTTTTCAACTGTAAACATGATTCACTTTTGCAAACCATGCTTTTAAAAGAACAATTTTGTCTTCATTTTAGCAGTTTAAGATGGATAGTCGTTGTGGAGTTGTGTTCAGTCCAGCCAGAGCCCGCATCTCTAGCCTCCTTTGTGAGGCCAGTATTAAAGAAAAGCAGAGTATCAGACTTAACTCCTAACCGCTCTGTTGAGTATTAATAGCCCGCTTAAGCTATTTAAAAAGGCCGTGTTTCAGGGAGCACTATAAACCTCACTCAACTCTTCTGCATCGAGTGGGCTGAAGCTTGGAATTGTGTTTGTGCATGAAACAAAGCATTGACAGATGCATTATAACTTTGGATAGCTTTGCACTTTCTTTGCTGTCACAGGCTGTTGTGACGGTGTGTCACGTGGCCCGACTTCTGAACTGGCAAGAAATGTTGACTCTGCTAGGAGATTTCATGAGTTTTCATGTGGGTAAGCGCACAGTGATATAGTTTAATTGTCGTCTTTCAGTTAAAAAAAAGACGTCTGTTCGCCTTGATGGCCATGATGGATTTGAGAAAGTCAATGGAAGAGGGAAAGGTTGCTGCCTGATTGTTGTTAGAGATTCAGGCCGATGCATTACTAGCTTTAATCTACTTAAATCTGTTTAAACGACAGACAGAGGACCTGTTGCACAGTTGCAGGGCTTGTACCTGCTCGGCCTTACTCGGCTATACTTGCCTTGGCACAGCTAGGTGGTTTTTACATTATAATTTAGGGCCGAACAGATAGACAGGCCCGACCGGTACATGACGTCATTCATACACAAAACGAGTGCCAGAAAAAAAATTAAGGACGTCAGGCCAACTGTATACCGACTAAACCTCTGTATTGGTTCATGCGTTAGGCATATTAATAATGTGGATGATCGGGGAAATGAGAAAATGGGACATTTGTTGTTGCTTTCTTATTAAAATGGACATGGGCGCACGTGTAAGGGGTCACTATTTGATCATGTGACTCCCAGACCAATGGGGGCACAGCACCGATTATTGGGGCCAGCGCCTAGTGAAAATGCAAAAAGAAGATGCCTGACACGCCGAGTAGGCGCTAGTGGAAAAGCGCCATTAGAGAAGTTCAAAGTGCGCGCGAGGTGTGATGGGATGCTAAAAGGAGAGGCGTTCTCCGAGGAGATCGTTCAGGGTCCAGAGGGGGAAGCCTGTGGTTTAAGCTTGGAACCATGAATCACAACATTAAGATTACTTTAAGTGGAATGATGGCGGTGCCAGATTCAGCTCCCGAGTGGTTGAAAAGCTGCTCCACCTTTTGACGGATAATGTAGCCAAACATTTCTGCCTCATTCAATTTGGGCAGCCATGAAATTACGTTCTGGAAACACTGTGAGAGGTTGGCTGTGCACGGTGGGAGAGCTGCAAGCATATCGAGTGACTTTTGCAACAGGCGTGCCACATTTATGCTGTTTGATTGGCTAGCTCTGTTTAGCTAAAACCTTTTTAAAAACATTTAAAATTGTTATCATGTTGGAAAAAATTACTAGAACTACTTTAATGACCATCTATGAATCCATTTTCTTTGCATCCCCACCCCCTCCCTCTTCCTCATGACCCTAACACAGTGTCCTTGTCAGAGTAATGTTCTCCTAGTGCCCCATTTTCTCCACTGGTCCTCAGCTTCCTCTTTTCCTGTCCTCCTTCCTCATCTCAAGGCCCCATGATGGTTAATCCCTTGATGCATTTGCTTTGGCCCCCTTTCTGATCGAGGTAGCCAGAATGGCTATTTTTATCACTTAGATAAATCCTTGGGTCTCCCCTGCCAGTTAGAACTTAAAACAGATAGAGGAGAGATGGTGCTTACGACAACTGCGAAAACGTGTAGGTTTTAGTGGTCTTTATTCAGGTTTTTGTCCGTTAGAGTGTGTATCGGGTGTTCAAAAAGTTGTTGGGGGAAGTCGCCCTCTTTTTAAATTTATCAGCTTCACTTTATTGAATCATAGGTTTAATCAGTGGCATCTTCTGTAGTTTTTTTTTTAATAGCATACATTTAATCAATGGTAATGTTCATTTACAAGTCTTAGAAAATCATGATGTTATGTCACTGGTTAGTAAATTGACTTCTGTAAGGCATAAATGTCTCCAGCAGTTTTAATGGAAATCTAGCCTGTTGTTCTGATGCCTGGCTGGTCAACTGACCTGCATTCGTTCTTTACACTTGCTCCTGTGGGGAAAAGTTGCTACCATTCCTGCTTGTACCATTAATCTCATACCATATAAAGCAAATCTTGCTCAAGCCCTGGAGATGAGGGTCAAGAACAAACTGTCCAGAGAAGGATGAAATATTTGTACTGTTCCAAAAATAATAAGAATACTGAAAAAGAAAACGACCTCAGGAGTGTATTTGGTGTAATGGATAATGACTTATCTGAGCCCGTTCAGCCAACCCCACGCTGTCGAAATGAATCTGAAACGCTTGTATTTACAGCCCATTTAGCCTCGCCGTTAAACACGTAGTTTGTCATGTTGAAGTAGAACGAATGCCAAACTGTTAGCTTAATTTTCGGTGCTCCTATGTATGGAGACCATTTCTTAGGATAAATAAGTAAAACTGAGCTCTTCTCTTTTACGTCTTAAATTATAATTCTTTTTGTTTTGTTTTTCTTTAGACTGCCTTTTCAAGCTGTGCCCTATGAACAGATATTCGGCCCAGAAACAGTTCTGGAAAGCTGCGAAACCTGGAGGCAACAGTACCACAGACACAGTCCTGCTCAACAAACTTCACGTAAGACTAACTCCCCATTTCAAGGAGGCGCGATCCGTGCTATCCGGAAGGTGTTCAAACATCTTCACATCTGCCTCCCGTTGTGTCCCATCAGCACGCCGCCGACCTCGAAAAGAAGCAGAACGAGTCTGAAAACCGCAAGCTGCTGGGGACCGTCATCCAGTATGGAAATGTCATTCAGGTGTGTTCAGGCTCTGTGAGATAAGGCCCTATCCTCAACAGAGCAGCGTCTATCAGCGGCCGCGGCACCTTTTTGCTCGATGATATTAACCACCGTCTTGTTTTCAGCTGGAGGAGTTTTAAATAATTGCCCCTACGTTGCTCTTTTCACATGCATGCTTTGCATTCATATTTGAATTCATGGATCAGAATGGCAAGGATGCGTTCTTTTATACAGGCCTGTCTGACTCCAGTGCAGATATTGACAGCTTTTCTTGGACTTCTTTTTTAACTCCTCCGTAATGACAGCAAACTCAGCCCCCAGGGAAAGGCCACTTGCAAAAGTTTTTCTTGGATATTCATAGAACCTGCAGAGATTAGAGGGGATATGAATTCCCCAAACATTTCTAAAGGATCATATTTTGTATAGGATCTTCCCTTCTTGAATTTCTCCCACTTTCACCCCATGTCACCGGGTCGTTTGCAGCCGTGTAACGCTGTATTTTTCTCTCTGCCCCCAGCTGCTGCACTTGAAAAGCAACAAATACCTAACGGTGAACAAACGGCTGCCCGCGCTATTGGAGAAGAACGCCATGAGAGTGACTTTGGACTGTGCAGGAAATGAGGGATCCTGGTTCTACATTCAGCCTTTCTACAAGCTCAGATCCCTGGGAGACAGTGTGGGTAGAGTCGGGTGTGGGACTGAAGTTAATTATGCCCAGTAGGAGAAATTAAGCTTATATTTTTAGACTTTTCAATGGGTTTAAGTGGAGAACTCCCATGGATTTACATGTAGAAAAACAGGATTAACTGATCTGATATGGAGGAGACAAAAAGCTTAGTTTTTTTGTTTTGTAATACTTAACTTCTTATGCTTGAGCAACTTTTCTGTTATTACAGGTTGACATTTGAGAGTTGTTGTTCAGTGTTGGATTATACACACCGTTTCCAAACAGCCAAACGGTTTTTTGTGGGACTGGTTCAGAGTGACACCTTTGGGAAGCACCCAAAGACATGTCAGAGCAGGGATTGTTGTTTTTGAAGAGGATCTGTTCCTCTACGACAGTGAGATTTTAGATGATAGGAACCCTGCTTTGGTGTTTTAAAAAAATGCATTTAGAACGAACACTGCAACATTTTCAAACCAAAGCGGTTTTTAAGTATCTGTTACCTCCTGAGAGCGCCACGCACTCTGGTACAGTATCGACTCAGGTGATGTAAGCCCCAGTCATCAGTGTGCGCTGAAAACAAAAGAAATATGGGGGTGTTCCATATGTGATCCTCTCTGTTGCATTCTTTGAAACCACACCAGCTAGTACTACACTTTTTTTTTCTCTCTGAAATGCCTGTGTTGTTATTGGGAAGGTAGGTTCTTTAAGGGAAAAAAAGATGCGCAATGCTCTCTTTTCTTTTTATTTTTTTACAACAATTTTTATGGCCGTTCACTGGAGTGCAGTTCTGTGTTGGTGGAAGAAATAAAGAGCAGTCAAAGAGCCTGCTGTGGCTCTAGCAGTCATGGACATAACCTCTGCTGCTCTTCCTAATCGTGTCTGATGGAGTTAAGCTGGCTAATTGGCAAATTAACGTGCAAATGAATCCCTTTGGGAAGATGTCTCCTCTGCAGTCAATTCATCTTACAGAGACCGAGGGCCGGCCCCAGGTCAGAGATTTGTGGACTGGGGGTTAAAAACAAATTGTTTGTGTGATGATTAGCATTTGAGAGCCTGCATGAAACAGAGGGACGAGTAACAATGAGGTCTTACACCTCAGTTTGAAACTTGGTGTAAACAGAAATCCAAATGAAGCTGTTGACCACAACTGTCTTTCGGATGGTTTTGTCTCGCTTGTCTCGTTATTTGTTGCCCCTTCGTGGTTCTGCAGCTTAAAGCTTCACAGTCTGATTCTGCCATTGAATGCAACACTGGTTTGTGGTGCCACCTAGTGGACGTCTGTAGTATTGCCAGTAAAGTGGTCAACCACATACCTAATCTGCTTTTAAAGATGGAGATGCGTCTCCTGGAAAGAGGCATACTATTCATATTATGCTTAAATATTTATATTCCTCTGAAAAAATCATATTTTCCTATGTCTGCCGTCTTAAAAACTGCACGTCTGATTAATCATGTAAGCTTATTTGAATTTTCTGACTCCCGCAGGTTGTGATTGGAGATAAAGTAGTCCTTAACCCTGTGAATGCTGGACAGCCTCTTCATGCCAGCAGCCACCAGCTTGTTGACAACCCTGGGTGTAATGAGGTGGGCCACCCACTGTCTCAACAAGGGCATATGTCTAAAAACTATGCCAGAAGGATTTATTTTGATCTTTTCAAATCTTTCCCTGTTGATTTTAGGTGAATTCTGTGAATTGCAACACAAGTTGGAAGGTTGTTCTTTTCATGAAATGGAGTGACAACAAGGAAACAATACTCAAAGGGGTGAGTTTCTTTCTTTCTTTCTTTCTTTCTTTCTTTCTTTCTTTCTTTCTTTCTTT